ATTCATAATTTTTTATTTATTTTGTATTGTAGAATATATATATATATATATATATATATATATATATATATATATATATATATATATATATATATATATATATATATATATACAAAAAATGACTGGTTGGGAATCCACCTTTCAGAAAATTCTCTTATCTCATTTGAAGTCGGAAAACATACATAACTACCCCGAAAAAAAATGGTTATTTTGGTTACTTTTCTCGTTCATAAATGCTACGTTTAATTAGTATGTTGGTATCATATTATTTTAAAAAAATAAATATGAAATTTTTATAATTTAAAAAGTTTGAATTTATAAGAAAAATGAGAAAAAAAATTGAATTATTAAAATTAATATGGTTTTAATGTATTGAATATATTACATATATAAAATCTTTCTAATAAATGTCTAGCTATTTCGACCTTTTTTATATTTTTAAAGGACCCCCTAATAATTACTCTAACTTTTTTCCTAAAATAAATTAATCATTACAAAATAATTATTTTTTTATTAATAACCATTACATAATATTAGACTCCTCATGATTATTTTATATTTTACTTTAAATAAAACTAATCATTACATAATAAAAGGGTTCAATATAAAGATTTATTTATAGAAAAAATATATATATCATTTTAATAAAAAAGTATTAAAATAAAAATATATTTATTTTTTTCAAATCTATAAAATAAAATATTTAAAAAAAATTAAATTTTTTTTTCTGTTTTTAAATAAAAGGGAAGAATGAGATTTTTGGTGTATGTGTAGATTTTCATTTCATATTGGTGTATGCTTGTATACATACATGAAACAATAGTCGTTATAGATATATGTACCGTCACTACATTTTCTATTAATAATACTTAGTTTTTATTTAAATATTTAATATCATTTTATTTTTATTTCTTGGTTTATAAAAATATTAAAATATAGAAAATATTAAAAATATATAGAAAACGTTGTATTATCATTTGATTATAAAAGAATAAAATATATAATAAAAAGATGATAGTAATTAAATGATAGGTACGAGTTTTAAAAAAAGATCTAGCTATTTGGACCCTTTTTATATTTTTCAAGGACCCCTAATAATTACTCTAACTTTTTTTCTAAAATAAACTAATCATTACAAAATAATTAGTTTTTTATTAATTACCATTACATAATATTAGACCCCTCATGATTATTTTATATTTTACTTTAAATAAAACTAATCATTACATAATAAAATGGTTCAATATAAAGATTTATTTATAGAAAAAAAAATATATCATTTTTATTAAAAAGTTTTAAAATAAAAATATATTTATTATTTTCATATGTATAAAATAAAATATTTTAAAAAAATTAATTATTTTTTTTGTTTTTAAATAAAAGGGAAGAATGAGATTTGTGGTGTGTGTGTAGATTTTCATTTCAGATTTGGAGTATCATTGTGTACATACATAAAACAATGGTCGTTATAAATATATGTGTCGTCACTACATTTTCTATTAATAATACTTAGTTTTTATTTAAATATTTAATATCATTTTATTTTTATTTCTTGGTTTATGAAAATATTAAAATATATAAAAATCGTTGACACATTGTATTATTATTTGATTATAAAAGAATAAAATATATAATAAAAATGGGATAGTAATTAAATGGTAGGTACGAGTTTAAAAAAAAAATAGTTTTTAGTAGTCATACAAACTATTGATATTATAAATACACGGGAATTTATACTTAAAAAATCATTAATGAGAAGAAAATTTGGGATCCAATTAGTACGACTCAATTAATAAATATATTACATATATATTACCTTACATATTAAATATGAAATTTTAATTTAATAAAATGAAAAATACAACAAAATGACAAGTGGATAATAGAAATTTTTTAAAAAATGTCATGTGTCCAAATAAAAGAGAAGATGAAATGTGGCAAAAAGTTCTTTATTTATTAGGGATGATAAGTTATATTATTTTTGTATTAATATATTTTTTATTTTTAATTAAACTTATTGATTAGTTACTTTAAATAAATTAAATGTGTTTTTTTGGTGAACCCAATCCAACGATAAATGATCCGACATTGTAGTTGTCTATTTTATTACCCCCGATTTTATAATGTTACTCTCTCTATCATTGACTTATTGGTGACATAATATTTATTTGTTATAGTTTTTTTATTTTTTAGCCAATGAATCAAAATTATTACTTTCAAGACATTGATGCGTGCGATACTGTACTTCTCCTCGCTGTCGCCTACTTATTTTCAATCATTATTTTAAATATTAATTTTATATTTTGAAATAAGATTCACATATCAAAGTAAACATAATATTAATATTCAATACAACTTTTATTTTTGATAGTTATGATGTTTTGAAGTTAGTTCTTTGTTGCTATATATTAATTCATAGACAAAACTGTAAATTTGGTCCTTGTAGTTTGCAAAAATTTTTGAATGAAGTCTAAAAAGTTTTCAGCTTGCACACAAGGTTCAAAATCAATGTTTTTCTGGGTTTTTGGTTCAAAAAATTTTGAAATTACCGATTTACCCTTTTAATTTCAGTTTTGTATTTTCTTTTCTTATTTAATTTAATAATTTATGAAAAAAAATAATAAACAAAAAAGATATACACCCACTCCACCCCTACCAGTACTCTCTCTCTCTTTCTCTCTCTCTATCTCTCTCTCTCTCGCTCTCTCTCTCTCTCTCTCTCTATATATATATATATATATATATATATATATATATATATATATATATATATATATACAAAACCCATCTTCATCATTTTTATTTTTAGAAAAATTGAATATCACCATTACCATCTGAACAATATGAAGATCTGGGAACCATATGAAGATGAAGAAATTAGGGGAAAGATGAAGATAAAGATCTTGTGTTCATCTCATAGCTAATACAAAAATCTAGAATTCAAGGGATAGAAATTGATTTCTTACCTTCAAACACAAACAGGCACATACACTCCATAAATCAAGAACCCTTTCAAATTCTCTCAAAATTTCATCTGTTTCTTCGATCTCTCTTCCAATAGGATCAAAAATTTCATCTGGAAGAGCAATAGATGATAAAAAAATTCATAAGCACCCATCTTGGGTTTACTGTGTGATTGAACAACAGGAGGGAACTCACACACATTGTGTGTCTGTATCTGTGTGTGTGATAAAGATAACAAAAATACGAATGATGGGATTAAGAAAGGGCTAACACCACTCTCACATCACTGCTCCTCAATTGCTACCCAGATCGATTTCCTAAAATTGATTTTTGTTTGGATCGATCATCAAGAGGTTGAGCAAAAGGGATAAGTCATTCCAAGATCTGGGTTTATTCCTCCATTGTAAGAACTCATACACATGGTCGCTGATGGTTTCGTTGAGGTTGTTGACGGAGAAATCATGGAGATTGGGTTTCTATTTATGGCCTCAGGCGTTGTGAAGGATGCAGTCGAATGTAGCTTGATTTATGGGTGATTTTGAAATGTCGATTAGGTGGTTGAGGGTGATGATTTACAGATGACAGTGATTGTGTAGAAGATGAGATTGAGAAGAAGATATGGGTATTGTGTTGGGAGAAAAATTCATGTGTGTGTGAGAGAGAGAGAGAGAGAAAGGAGATGGGATGTTATTTTTTATTTTTTAAGATAAAAAAGTATTAAAATACATACAAAAAAATACAAAAAAGAAATTAAAATGACAAAACCGTCATTTCAGGTGTTCCAATGACCAAAACCACAAAAAAGTTTTGATTTTTGACCTTCTATACAAGTCGAAACCTTTTTGAACCCTATTCAAAGTTTTTACAAACTACAAGGACCAAATTTGCAGTTTTGTCTAATTTATACCACTTTATAAAATAAAGAAAATTTTATTATATTTACTATATAATTAATATTTATATCTTATAACTACTATTTATATTATTGTTTTATACATTTGACACAAACAATAAATAAAATTTTAAGAAACAAAAGTTTTTATTTATTTATTAATTATATTAAATTTTAAAAGTATTTGTTTTTACGTATTTATTATTTTTTTACTTGAGTAGTTTTCTTATTATTTGTTTATTGTATTTTATAAAATACATACATAAATTACATAAAAAATTTATAACATTCTTATATAAAAAATTTTAATAAATTAAATATTAAAAATATAAGAAAATTAAGTTGTATTTTTTTAATTAAATAAAAATATTTATGTGTTTTATAATAATAGTATTAATAAAGTATCTATAAATAAACTAAATATTATTTTAGTAAATATATTTGTTGTTTAATAGATTACTTAAATTTTAAAATACAAACATATATTTTCTTTTAAAAAAACATCAAATTTTAAAATACTTGTTTTTTAATATTATTTGCACTTGTAAATGACAGCCATTATATGTCGATGTTTTTGAAAAACCTTGGATACATATGAACGATTAAATGTGGATGTATTTAAACTTTTTTATTATTTGTTACGTCGAAATATTAATTTATTTTTGTTGTGTCATATTTTTTAATTTAATAAAAATACTTATTTATATTTTATAAAAATAGTATTGATAAATTATCTATAATAAACTAAAAAACTGAATAATATTTACAAACTAAATAAACTAAATAATATTCTAATAACTGAACACCAAACCAAAAATCAAATAAACTCAATCGATTAAAATTATGTTATAACTAGTGAAGGATCCCCGCTTTTGCGGGGATCAGATATGTATTCGGTATAGGAAAAATTACAAATCCCACAAGGGTACATTGGGTAAATTTGTCACTTGTTGCTGATTGTTGCACCCAATACACCAATTACAAATGTCATATTCAACTCATTACGAAAAAAAAAAAAAGATAAAACTTTGATAAGATTCTAAGTTAAACTCATCAAATCGTGATGAAATTGCTATAAATACTCTTAGTAGTGAGCATAAGCCCTATTTGATGGAATTTTGCTCCTCAAAACAAATCAAAGAGATTAGATGTGATCACATGTTTTTAAAATAAAAAAAAAACTAATATCAACCTTTAAAACAAATCAAAGAGATTAAATGTGATCAAAGAGATTAAATGTGATCACACTGTAACAAATAAACATCAACCTTCATCTTCATTTCTTTGCCTGCCAGATTCATTAAACACATTTGATCAGCAAAGCGTATTTTGGTCCTTTTACATAATATACCTTCCAATTCCTTTAACAAATTTGTAAACAAACCATATCCTACCAACCAAACACATTCGAATTCTCTCATTATAATTTCATATTTTCATTACAGTTTTATGGTTCAAAAATCAGTTGATTGATATGAATTTTTCAAAAGGTTGCAAATCTCTTCTTATCTCTACATAGTATTTGTACCTTAAACTGTGGGGATTGGCGGCGGCATAGAGATGAAGCAGATCCAGGGGACTGAAATGACGATTGTACCCCTTGAATACGTCTGGCTTTCCTGGTTTATCTAGAGTCATCGAAAGAGAATAAAGAATGAAACCTTGTAACAATAATTATTCAATAGGACTACTGAAATAATCTTTTATGTGTTGTCGGGAACTTCAAATTTCCATGTTTCTCCATATATTTGGCATCGTCTGCTTGCAAATGTTGGAAATTTGAGTTTGACATTCTATCAAGCACTTGGTGGGCAATTTTTATATGAAATTAGAAAAACATAATGATTTCAGGAAAAACACATCTAAAACATACAAAGGTAGATGAAAATTTCGAGTACATACCATCATACAACATACTTTAATATTTGTATCTCTTATTGCTTGAATTTGAGTTTATCAATGGATAAATAGATAGAAATTAAGTTCAGTTTGTACCTTGCCATTGAACCACATGAGATTTTCAACGAAGGCAGGGCTCACTGAAATGGTGAGGATTGCACAGAGGCGATTAGATAAGCCTTTCCCACTATTACAACTATGCTCGTCAGTGTACGTACAGTCACCATTAACACCCACTTCCCCACACTATTAAAAAGACATAGGGAAGAAAACTGGATAAACAATGAAACTGATAAGGAACAAAATTGTTGCCTACAACAACGTCGTACGCTCCTTTGCACTCTGTCATCGTCGACTACCTGTACATGAGAAATGTAGAAAAAATTAACCCTAAAAGGTTTGTAGATATCTCTAAAGAATACGAATTAAACAGTTTAAAGAGGACATCGCCGATATTAGTTCTCTTATAAAACTTCTAATTTTGAGTAATGGAAGGAGGAATCAACATTTAATGAAAACATTTAAGAGAAGCTTATGAAAATTTTGATAAGAGAGTCACATATGTTTTCTTTATGGTGTATAGTTAAGAATCAAACTTGGACAGAATTTGGACTTTGTTGAATCTATTTCCTGATACATGAGATTCCATATATATGTCGACAAGGAAAACAACAGCAAAAGTCACATTCACAACAGAAGAAATACAAAAATAAAAACGTAAATAGGTCTACCAAATTCACTGAAACTGAATATCAATTCATATGAACAACTCCTTGAACCGTTGGCTAGGTCGACCATGCCTTAGGCTAGCCCAACGATGGAGACAACCGGGGCAGCAAATCAATAGTGGAGAAGCGGATTTGTTGGCGAGAGAGAGAAGGAAGTAGTAAGGCGGTGGGGTGTAGATGCATTGAAGCAGGTGGAGTTCAAATTGGAAATTCAAGACAGCCACTAGAAGACCTTCAATCGATCATTAATTTTTAGAATTTCTGATAATCGATGTTTGCAAGTCGAGGCTGGTAGAAGCATAAAAGAGGAATAGAACTACATGCATTGTAACAAAGTAAATCACATACCTCAATGCTTGCGTCTACCCTTGACCCCATCATTCCTTCTTGCTCACCTAAGATTGGTTGGATTTACTTCAATCTCTCACCGTCGCCTTCGAGTCCTTTTGTTTCTGTTCGGTTTTTTGCTACCTCTCTCTTTAGACAAACACACGAACCGGAAAGTGAAGGTGAGCACAAATTTAAAATAAAGGAAACCAAAGAAATATGGAACAAAGATAGACATGAATCGGAGACCTAGTTTGGTCGATCGGTGGTCTATTTCTTTTATGAGCAGTGAGGAAGGTGACAGAGAAGAGGGAGATATCTAGAAAGAACAGGGATGTATTTGGATCGGTGGATGTGAGTCGGTGACAGTAACCTTATATCTATTGGCTTCTATAGCGGTGCACAGCTGGTATCGGTAACACGCGTATATTTGTAACACGTACAACCGTACAAACGGTGGAGCGAATGAGATGCGGACAAATGCGACGTAGCACTGAAAAGGGCAAATTAAAGGAGAAGGGAATAAAGAATTAATTAAAATAAAACACGTTCCACACTTAAAGCGTCCCACAATATATTATTGAAAGAAACCCCAAAAAAAGGAAACATTTTAAAAAAGGAGGACAAAACAAATTAAAAAGGAAAAGAAAATAAAAAGCCAACCAAAAAGGGAAGATCATTGTTGGTTAAGGAACTTGAAATTAATATTAGTATAAATTGAAACGTCAATTAATTTTTAAAGTTCATATTTTTTTTTTTTAAATTAAGAGAATTGATTATCAATAAAATCCGGATTTTTTTAAATTTTTTTTAGCTTAATTGACTAAAATATCTTACAATGACACTTGTGTTATGTGTTATAATAAGGTACATATTATTCCATTTTTACAACATAGGCGTTAAGATGATAACATTTTATTATTTTTATTTATTGGTTTAGAATTATACTTACGACCGCACAATAATGTTACACACACATATATATATATATATATATATATATATATATATATATATATATATATATATATATATATAATATTTGATGTTGGGAAAGTCTATAAAAATATAAACTAATATCTAACTTCAATATTAGTCGATCAATTAGAATAAGTAAATTGACATTTTTTACTGGGTAAGAACATTTAATCTACTTAAAGAAAATAAATTTATTGTAACATCCTAAAATATTGAGTAAAAAAATTCATTTTTAAAATAAGGTAAAACCATTCAATATCGTTTGAAACCAACAATATTCAAAACATGAGTAATGAGTTCCAACAAGTTATCAGAGTGAAAACATAAAATAAAACAGTGTGGAATCTCTTGTTGATGCGATGTAATCATACCGAACTCTTCTCTTTGCTACTATAAGACTATCCCCATTGGTAAGCTAAAAAATAAGGCTCGCCAATAAAATATTTAAAAAGAAAAGAAAATTTGAACAAATACCACGATCTGCTCATGCCCACGATTCAAGCTCACCAAAATTTTAAACTTTTCATTGCCTATCTGTCATCTGTCAAATGTGGAATTAAATTAACTTTTATAAATCAAAAGTAATTTTGAAATAACTATACTTTATCTTTATTAAAAAATAAAATAAAATATACCAAAATACATGATTTATTTTTCTCTATAAAATGAGATGAATATTGATATAATTTCTATGTATAATTTTTTAGTTAAAATTTGGGTTGGGTTGGATTACTAATGAGTTATAAAATTTTGGTATGATTGAGTTGTGTATTTTAATGAGAAATAATAATTTTTTAATAGACAATTAGGTTGCATAGGGTTGTGAATGGGGATAGTCTAAGTACGTGGAACATTTAAGACTTAAACCATAAGCATAAAGCTTAGTGAGTTTCCTGAGATACCATATACAACGTAATAATGGGCCTCAACCTAAATAATGGATCCAGTACTGAAAAATGGGTCCCACCTTAAGTATTGGACCTCTTCCTGAATAACAGACCCCACCCAACATAACATGTGACATCCCCATTTCCATGACCAGAAAAGACCGATTTTGTTTAGGCTTTATAAAAGTCAGAGTATCTCTTTTAATAAAAATGCTGCGGAATTTGTTCCCAGTAAAACATGATAAATAAGTTATTAAAGAATTTCCAAAGCAAATTATTTTTATTCATTTTAAAACATTTGGGATGTCATCGTCAATACAGAAACATAAGCACAAACAGAACTTACATTCATTATCACTAGTGATATATACCTCCTCAATCTCTCAGTGTAATGTGACTTCATATCAACACCAGTGATATAAGTAAATTGAGTGGGTCAGGTTGGAAAAATTGGTAAGTACATAGAGTTTTCAACCCACAATAAATAAGTTTATTAACTTTATCAAACCAAACAAACCCGATTACCCGTTCCCCTTATCCTCAGTTTACGTCCCTAAAACATATAACACAAGGGACCTGGTCTAAAGACTTTCATCGGGGTGAAAACACATGCTTCGGGGGTTCCTAAACAATTCATGTCAAATAAGGCAACCATGTGGGTGATGGAGTACTGCTGGTGAGCACACAGTTCAAATAAACACCTGCAGGTTGCGAGCCTGCTAGCGTTCCACTTGACTGTCTAGAATAGTCTATGGTCATCATCTATACTCCGCTAGATGACTGGATCATCAATAACATCTATATCGAGGTCTCTCATTATTTTATTTGGTCGCACAACAACTATTACATCTACCCATGTTTTACCCAACACATTTTGTAGATATAAAATAAATATACAGTTTAAATCATTTAAAACATGTATAAAATCGTTCATCCAGCATAGATAGCAAGTATACGGATAATATGCGCACACATCATGTAATTTATATAAAATACTTCATATGTATGTGTAAGATGAAAGTAACTATGCACTCACCTGGTAAGATGGTGACTCGGTACTCGGACAACACTTCGTTATCACAAAACAATTTTCCCTTGACAAAACCTAGTATCAATACCACTAGGGTTTAGTCTAATATTTATCGTGACTAATTAATAGTCTAGCTATTATTACTATTATATAAGCGTTAAACAATACTTATAACCCATAATAATAGCCCAAGTACTTATTATAAGTTCCTAATAACGTTACTATAATAAACATAAGCTATACTAAAGATAGGGTAGGTATAGCTCACTTACAGTGGGTTTCCTTGGAAATCGGGCTTCGCTGGAGCAGCGTTTCTGAGCCGAAAGTCTCTTCTTCTCTAGGCCGTCGGGTACTTCGGGGCTTCCGTCTCGTGCTAGGGGGTTCCCTAGGCTTTTTCGGGGGGTTTTAGGGCTTAAAGAGAGAGAGAGAAAGAGAGTATAGAGAGAGGAATGAAGGGTTAAGGTGTGAATAATGATGGAGAGGGGTGACTCTATTTATAGGAGGCTGAAGAGGCTCCCACATTGTGGCCATTTGATGGCCACGTCGTGGCCACCTGGGTACAGCCAGGCACAGCCTGGTGCTGACACGTGGCATCGCACATAGGGTGTAAATCATTTGATTTTCAAAAATCCATATCTTTCGCATACAAGCTCCGTTTTCAACGTTTTTTATATCCACGCATAGGTAAAAACAAGATCTACAACTTTAGTTTAGACTCCGTCGGCTAATTCTCGACCGATCTTAAATTTAACAGTAGGAGGAATTTAGGCTGTTAAATGACCGCGAAGAATTCGTAACTCCTTCACACGGACTCCGTTTTCGTCTGTATTTTTACCGTTGAGTTCCTATTAATGAGATCTTCAACTCTAATTTAGGTCGCGTAAGCCAAAAACTGCTCGAACTATAATTCGAGTTTCGGATCGTGCATTGCTAAGCCAAATCTTAGAAAAATCATAACTTCCTCATGCGAAGTCAAATTTGGGCATTCTTTTTATGGATGCTCTCAGGTTAACATATTCTACGAATTTCATTTAGATTACTAAGGCTAAAAGTCTCTATATCATAAATTCACTATTTACATCTTCCTGGTGCCGTGCCGGTTCCATCGCGAAACTTCGATGGGTCATAACTTCTTCGTTACAACTCGGATTTCGACGCTCTTTATATGTACGGAACCCTTGAGACATATTCTACAGTTTGGTTAAGATTATTTATTCTAAATAATCTTTTGTTAAAAAGTCATTTTCGACCCCTATTATCTCTAAATTGACTAGCCCGGATCTACGGGCGTTACATACATAGCATAACATTGGGCCCTACCCAACAAGCATATAGACATACTTGCTAGAGTCGCAAAGACAAAAATCATGCAATGACACCCCATGTCCAATCATAGTATAGTGAGAAACTTACCTCACAGTCAAGATAACAACTCCACAACTCATAGGAAACTCAAAGGTTGGTACTATGAACCACCTAAGCATTAAATAAAGGTCAACTCTTAGTCTATGGCCCAAAACCATAAAGTTCGACTAAAAATCAAACCTGTCAAAAGTCAACGGTCGACCCACCGTGCCATGGCCAACCCCATAGTCGCGTTGTGGTAACTAGATGACAAAACAAACATGACCAGACCCTATTGTTGTGGCACATCTACCAGTAAACTTGTCGTAGTAAGCATCTAAAACAACTTAATGGATTAAACACTTCATCCTTAATCTTTAGAGCTCAAAATCTCAGATTTGATTATTCTAAATGTCTCAATGGATAAAGTTTCTAACTTTATCTATTCTCTTTTCTCAATAGCACCCAAACTCTAAACCTAATTCTAAAGTGGGCCAAGATACATGCTTGTCCTCAAGAGAAAGCATGCAAACACACCTTTCTTTCAACACTCCATCCTGTAAATCATTTGAGTTGCTTAAAAGGTCCTGGATTTGCTCAACTCCAAGGATATCTAGAAAAGGGACTCAAAACCACCCAAAAGATGCATAAACCTAAATCTAGAAAAGCAAATATTAAGGTTAGAACTTTATATATCCAAAGGACCAAAAATCCTAATGAAGAAGCAAGATCAAGCATAGAACAACACTCACTTGCACCAAAATGGAGTTCGTTCTAAGAGGATGGAGGTTGCCAAATAAGGAAACCCTAGATGTTAGAACCTTTAAATAGGGCTCAAGACTTAAAGTATAGTGTAACCCTCTAAATTTTCAGACACATTTTTTTTTCATTTTTAAAACTTTCACCCAAACATAGTTTAACATTTATCAAGCCAAATTTGAAAATTTTCCCAGACACAAAACATCAGAAATTGTTTGTCAAGTATCCCAGAATCCACATAAACACAAATCATCAAGCTGGTGAGTACAATCATGTTGGCGCCTTCCCGCGATCCTGAGATTTACCTGAAACACATTTTACAGAAACACTGTAAGCACGAAGCTTAATGAGTCCCTCAAAATACCACATACACAAATAATTAGCCT